CAGATAGCCATTAAGCACCTACTTGATGACAGGCTCTACCAAAAGATATTGTTCGTTTCCAAACATTCATTCATCGACTTGCCGTTCATCAGAACCATTATGGCACCTTAGATTGATATTCCCGCAAAACTATTAAGGTTTTTTGATATCCATACATCCATAAAGTTGAATATTTTTCGTTGTTCAGGAACTGAACAAACATCCACACTATATTCACAGCGATTAAGGAATTCCCAAATATATGCCTTAAAGCTACCAGCAAACCTAAAACCTGCAAAAAAAACTACAAATTTGCCATATTTTTCTTTTTTCTCGAGTACACATTCTAGGTTATATTTATATTAGACATTATTTGAATACAGCTGATTATTGCATTTCAAGGAGTGACACATGTGTGGGATCTGTCAACTCTTGGTACCAGTCACAAAACATATACTCTGAAGGTTTAATTCCATGCTATTCAATGACAACACGGTGACTTGTGTGGTTATCAGCGGCCATTTTGTGAGGGTGAGACAGGGTTACCAGATTGTGCATTAATATCCCGTTTCACCCTCCTGGTCCCAGTGGAGTAAGTTCAGCCAACAGTTGAAATATACTCTACTATACTTTATAAGACTATTCGTGACATATTTCCCAAAATCATTGCACAACACTTAAAAAAATGCAAATGAAAATTTAAAATTATTTCCATGACGCCGCAATATAGCTCCGTCGGTACCTTGGGTTATACATCTTGACAGTAGGGATGTTCGATACGATCCTATATTTAGAAGTATACAATACATTTCACGAGTATCGTCATCTTTCGATCCGGACTGTGACAGAAAGAATGATTACCATTTGGCTGCGACATTACCCTGCCAAATCAGACATATCTTTCATCATTTTCAAAGAAATTGTACAAAATCTTCAAATATGTGAAGCTAGCGAGTTTCACTTCATACGTAACAACCAGACATGCCCTAATCATCAGTTGCTGCTGTGATATTCATCCCGACCACTGCATCCCCAAGGCTAGGCGACCTGTATGTTAAATTTGTATTGATAGGGCAGCGGGTTATGCTATAAATCATATGTCACAGTGTTTGTGCACTGCTTGCAACGGTTAGATGATACCAAAAATATTTTCATAAATAGGAGAGATCTTTCCCATTCAGGATCGAACAATCTACCAAAGATGCTTATAGTCATGGTACCCAGTAAATTTTCACGAAAAAATTCAAAACCAGCAAATTTAAAAGATTCATTTCGCACCCTCCACCACGGGACGTGATCGTCGTTAGACTTGGCAACCCTGCGAGTGTCAGATAGATATCCCCGCCAGTCAAAGAAGAAAAATAGACAAACAATAAACATTACTAGTTTTTTGATTTTTGGACTTAAAAGCCATTATCTGTGAAACATTTTTCATTTTTTTTTGTCTATGTCCATAGTAATTGCATTATGCATCAGGGAGATGTAGGGATTGACACGTCTTACACATATTATCTGTGTTTTAGGATGGAGAGGACATAATGTTTTTATTGCTTTGAAGAAATTCATTAACCCATAAATTAATAAATGATTACTATTATGACGTAAAGGAAGATGAGGAATTGGATGGAATGTATTTTATATTCTATTTTCTTGCAAAATACAGACAAATCCACACTATTCAACAGGTATGTAATGATAACTTTCAGTATATTGAAGTTGGTAAATTCGAGAGTGCCATACATTAATAAACGTCCAAATCTGCTGCCAAATCCTATTATTTGCCGCATTCCCATTCGCTGAGGGGGATAACGGATTGTTAAATGTAAACCTATAACATACGTAGTCGTGCCATAAGTTCTGTCCCATGATAATCTCATGATAAAAATGAAACAAGATAAGATATATTTATATGAAAGATATTATTTATTCGACAACATTTTTAGAATTCATAATCAAACAGTTTTATTCAAAATGTCCCCCCTTGGCCTTCACACACTGCTTCAATCTCGCGGGCCACTCATCTATCACTGCACGCACAGCTTCCAAAGGAATAGCTGCCGCTGATCGGATCAAATCCGCTTTCAGGGACTCGATATTACGGTGGGCTTTGGAGCAGGCCAACTGCTCTAGCAGGTCCCACAACTTGTAGTCTAAAGGATTGAGGTCCGGACTCCCTGAGGGCCAATCTTCCGCAGCAATGAACTCTGGCACATTGCTTTCCAGCCAGCGCTGCGTACTCTTAGCCTTGTGAGCGGGGGCGGAATCCTGCTGGTAGACCCAGTGTTGGTTGGCAAACAATGTACCACTCAAAGGCTTGACGATAGGATCCAGTATGTCGCTCTGATAGTTTGCCGCTTTTGTTTTCACGCCCTGTTTACAGAAATGGAGCTGAGTGACCCCTTCGTAGGACACCCCCCACCAAACCATGACTGACGCAGGGTGGTGGCCTCTCTCAACTCTCGGAATGATCTCCGAAGCTTCCTGTGAACTCCTTGCATACACTTTGTCATTTTGTCGGTTGAATTTTTCTTCTATGGTGAAGATTTTCTCATCCGTGAACAAAATCTTTCGGAATCCCCCAGCTGCGTACCTCTCCAAGAGCTTCTTGGATCTTGTCGCCCTGATATGTCGCAAGGTGGCCGTAAGTCGCTGGCCCGTACGTCTCCGGTAAGTCCCTAGCCCTAGGTCTTGTTTAATGATGCGCGACATCGTCCGGACAGGAATCTTCATTTCCCTGGATAGGATCTTCTGCTTCCGGAGTGGATTCCTTTGAATCCTGGCTTTTACGGCTTTGATGGCTGCTGGAGTCCTTACTTGACGAGGTCTTCCGCTTCTTGGCCTGTCATCAACAGAGGACGTCTCATTGTACCGCTGAATGGTCCTAGACACAAATTTACGCGATATTTGAAGGCCGCGTAAGAGTTCAAAAATCTGACTAGCACTGTGATTACACTTATGTAAAGCTATCACTGCAATACGGTTCTCTGCCTTGCCCCACTCCATCGTTATGCTTCGAGAGATCAATACAAACTGAGGTATATGTAATTACCCGAAAAGCGCTTAATCAACTGACACCACAATGTAAACAATCGGACAAGTATTAACAGGTCTACACTTGTTTGAAAACGAGGGACAGAACTTATGGCATGACTACGTATATTACAATACATGAAGGTTGTCCTGTTTTTTCTGGTCAAAAGCAACATGTTGGAATCAAAAAGTGGTCCTGTTTATAATACAGTCGAATTTTCACGATTTTATTCAATAGAAATCACTGATATTCAGAGACCTTTGACAGCTTCCGTCAAATTACATTTCGATAGGGTCTTTTCCTATTGGTCCAACTGACCGTCAAATATTAATGTTGGTGAAATTGGCCCTAAATTTGCGCCACATGCGAAATACAGTGTGCCCCAGATTCGCTTCTCTATACAGGGATCTCGGCTCCTGTTATACCTACAGCAAATGGGGAAAGTTTTAGAGGAAACTTAGTGCACTCGATAGTCGGCGTCAGATTTACGATCGGTCAATTGGATTTGGAAATATCGGCGTAAAACCGAATTTTGTTTTTTGCCAATAAATCCGAAACGGTTAATTTGACAGCTGTCAAAATCTGACATTATTGCGACATCTTTTTAAGTCAAATGAGATAGCGTATAGGATATGTCTCAATCGTCTTTTGTTTTCCCGCAACTTGCTTCAACTTTAATTTTTCTTATGGCTGTCACATTGGATCTTTCGATTTTTGAAAAGAGCGTAAAATATCCAGCTTAGTTTTGTCTTGCAAGTGCATAACAGATTGGAGTGTGAGTAATGCATTTTTTTTCATCTAAGGAGGCTCTAACTTTGACGTTAAATAATTCAAATTAGCAAAATTGTGTTTTAATAAGTAGCAGGCACGGCACGTTTTCTCTCATTAAAATCATAAATCTGACAAAAAAATTGTCAAAACCTGTTGAAAATAGCCGGTATTCCCTACTCAAATAAAGAAAAGTTTGATATGTTAGCTATGTTCGTTTTTTCTCAGATATTTTCAAAACCAATTGACCGATCGTAAGTCTGAAAACGGCTATCGAAAGCACTAAGTTTCCTCTAAGACTCTCCCCATTTAACCTTTGTTCTTGGTACCTAGAAGAGTAGCCGAGGTTCCTGTGTAGAGAAGCGAATCAGGGACACGGTGGATCAAGGACCTTTGCGTATTGAATTAAAAACAGGCCAGGTTTGGCTTCTTTATTCATTGCCCGGTGATGCGGTAATGGCGGTGATCTACAGGTCTGTACTTATTGTACGCTGAAAACTAATACGGGAAAAGCATAATGAGGGATGTGGCAACTCAAATTTACATCCGTCGTGTGCGCAACTGCTTAAGTCTACGCATATGTATAATTGGATTGTGGCATAAAACTACATAGATTACATACACCTAATTCATTTTTTATTAGCATCATCTTTGATCTCAGCTCTTTTTGGAAATATCTAAATTATTTAAGAAAATCGTGGAGAATGAGGACGTTTTCGGTATTTCGGTGAGTGGTCTCATTGCGGTAGAAATACCGAAAAATCGGTGGGTTCACTTAACCCTTAATTACTCGCATGAAGAACATTACATAACTGCTCGCATGGGGTCACAGGTGACCCCAAGTTGTAGGATATTTTTTTAATATACATTAAATATAAAATGAAATCAAACTATTTTATTATTAAAGTGCTTTATTTATATTATGATATTTAAAAGAAATAACATGGATATTTATCTAATGAAAAAAATTAAGCTTATATAAAATAATAGTTGAAAATTAACAATTTGTACTTATATCAAGAGATCAAGGCAAATTTTTATGATTATGTTAGGAACTATCCGAATCACTTTTCTTGCACTGTTGACAGTATATGTCTGAGTGATCATTGCACACAAATTTTGTGCACTTTTTGCATTTAGTCGATACTTTTCGATCACTTTTCCGCGGGCAGTTGTTGCAACGCCCACGTTTTGCAGTGGTTGGTGGGGCGCGGTTGTCCAAGTCATGCACTTCTATAAGTCGTTTCTTTATTACCTTAGGAGTTGAATGGACATCAAGCCGACGTTTCTGGTGATTATGGACAAGTTCAACGGACAATTGCCGCAAAAAATTACGCCTCATGTGAGCACGTGATTTAGTGGTATTTGCCCGATGTACAACGAGAGCATTTATGCCTGCAACGTTTATAAGATGGAAGAAAATGGCTAACGGCCATCGTTTGGTTCGCCTTCCTACGCTGTATGTACCACACAAATGATCATTGGTGTCCACTCCTCCTTTAGTGCTGTTGTAATACATAATTATTTCAGGCTTCTGCTGATCACCTGAATCTGGGTCGATGTGAGCTCCATGGTGCATGGAGGATAACAACACAACAGCTTGATTTGGTTTTTGCACATATGAAACCATGGTTAGTGTCTTTTGAAATCCGAACAGAGAGCTGAATTGACTTCTAGTTCTGTCTGGTAAAAACTCCTTAGGTATATCAGGTTTGTTTTTCTTCAGTGTTCCAACTAAGGTGAGCTTGTAAGGTGGATACAATAATTCAGTTGCAAGTTTCACGTTCGTATACCAATTGTCTGTGGTAATATTACGGTTACTACCTTTTATCGGCTCTACAAGACGTCTTACTATGTCATTAGGGCTGTTTGAGACCTGGTATGGACCCGCAGGCTGCTTTCCAGAATAAACCTCAAAAGCTAGCAAATAAAAAGTTTTTGAGTCAACCATAGCTTGGATTTTTATGCCGTATTTATTCGGCTTACTTGGCATGTAAACTTTGCCTTTGAAACGGCCACGGAACCCAATCAATTGCTCATCAATAGTAACATTTTCACCCGGCGAATAGGCTTCTTGAAATTTCGCTTGCAACATGTTACAGATCTCACGTATAGCTGCTAAGTTATCAATTTGCAAACGTTCAGCTCGAGTTGTTCTATCATCAAATCGAAGGCATCTTAGTAAAAACAGAAAACGTTGATAACTCATTGTCAGGCGAAACATCTCTACACCGGTTCCGTTGGTGGCCCAGAGATCTATGAAATTGAGATGTGAAGCTCTCAACACTCCAGACATGATCAACAAACCCAGCAATGCTTTCATTTCTTCAACGTCTGTATCTTTTGCGTCACGTTCCCTTTGAAACTTGCCTCTGACTACTTCGATGTACTGATTTGTACATGTTACCAGCAAATTGATAATGTCATCAGAAAAAAACAAACTAAAACATTCCAAAGCAGTCTTCGCGGATTTCGCTGATGACTTGACACCGGGTAAGTGTAAAATTATATTATGGCTTCGTGTTCTTGTGGAGCTTGTTGGTGGAGACTTTGACCATTTTTGTTTAGGACCGTTTCTGCCATTATGTCTGGTAAAATAGAATTTATCATACTGCCCTGCACAGCCGTCGTCCTCGTTGTCTGAAAACTCACTGGAGTGTGCGGACAGTTCGTCGATTTCACTAGCACTATTATGATCGCTTTGTGTTATCTCGTCTCCGACTCAGAATTTGACCCTCCAACTTGTTCTTCATCAGAAGCCTCAACCAACCAATTCTCAATTTGTTCTCTTCTATCCATGACGAATTCTGGAAACAGATACAAAACTCATAGCAAAACGTAATTTTTCGGTACTTTTATTTTATAAAACTACACAAAACATATTTATTAAATAAATTTATAAACTGGACATACAATAATACAAATCGGATCAATAAAACACAAAAAAATACATAAAATAAGCAACTTACCTTTTTCAAAAAAGTAACGTAATTAGTCGCACGGGGTCACTGCTCAAGAGCGCAACGACGTGTCTTTAGACTCCTGTGACATCGTCGCTACTAAAACACAAACGTCGACGCGCGGTTTCAAGCTAGCGGGGGCGCGGGAAAATTCGGTCGGCGGGAAATCCTTCGTTTTTGAATGCGAAACTGCTTTGACCCCATGCGAGTAATTAAGGGTTAAGAACTTAAGAATGGACGGAAAGCAAGGAGCAGCTGTCGGATTTCGCTGTGCTCCTTGCAGTGTGGCTGAAGCCCTCTGGAAACCACTTTTTTGGATCAACCCTCGTAAACGTATTTTCGTGTACCAAACTAGACCCGACAATTTGATTTTCTCTGAATATGGTAAGGTGACAAGTTCGCCACTTGATCCTGCGTAATTAACAGTACAAAGATTGGACCGAATCAGAGTTTAATCCCCATACAAAAGGCTTCTCAATGTACAAACTGGTTTCTCGTTAAATGGGCAACCACACTGATGTATTTATGGAACATGTCCGTTGTCGTTCCTATTTTCAGTTGACGGGTATTTCCTGCAAACGAGAAAAGGGAAACTGACTCTCAATGGAGGGTGAGAACATCCTGTTTTAAACGGATATGCTATTTATACACCAATTTGCGGTCAGGCAATTCATTCAAATGGAATCTGGTTATACATATTCTGGAGAGCTGCTGGTTGGAGTCTGTTAAACCGATTCATCCGTTGCAATTTATCTATTGGAAAATTGCAAATACTTGTAGAAACCCTGTAACCACAGTAGTACTTCCAAAATACGGACAGCAACAGTTTTCGACATCGAACAAGTGTATACTAAGTGACATATAAATCCGAACACCCAGTTTAAATGGTTTTATTTTAATAAAAGTTGGTGAATGTATTTATCTTACTGTAAATAACAAGTGAAAAAATTTTCAGCCTTATCAGTTGGACATTCCGGTTTTTATACTGCTTTTTTTTAATTCACTAACGCTCTAAAAATGAATATTTCAGCCGCAGTAAAGAATCAACGTTGGCGGATTTAGGTTCTTGACATCCTTTACGATCGGTTACGATGCCTAGAGTACGGAGACCTGTACGATTTCATCAACTTAGTGAGTTTGATAGGGGAAGTATAGTGGGACTTCGGGAAGCTGGCCTTTCTTTTCGGGCAATTGCAGTTAGAGTGCAAAGAAGTGCAGACACTGTGGTTAGGTGTTGTCAGGCATGGCTTCGAGAAGGCCGTACGCAAAGAGCAAGGGGCACTGGACGCCGCCGTAGAACAACAGACCGTGAAGATCGCCGCCTAAGATTATTGGCCTTAAGGGACTGTTTCTCCACTACCAGGCCCATTGCAAATGAATGGTTTGCAGAACACGGAAGACCTATTGGCATGCGAAGTGTTTACCGACGAATGAGAAGTTTTGGCTTGTTTTCATACCGGCCACACTGGGTCCTCCCTTTAACTCGAGAACACCGACGTAATCGCCTTGAGTGGTGCAGACAACGGTCACTCTGGGATCAGGAATGGAACAGTATTGTCTTTAGTGACGAGTCTCGATTTTGTTTAGACATGCACGATGGTCGTGCCAGGGTTAGAAGGCGACGTGGTGAAAGGAGGAATCCACAGTTTTTTGTTGAAAGACATGTTCATCACACTGCTGGAGTTATGGTTTGGCGTGCTATAGCTTATGGTTCCACGAAGTTCTAGAACCCCATCTTTTACCCTATCTTGACACCCTGGCAGATCCAACTTTCCAACAAGATAATGCCCGACCACAAGTTGCAAGAGTCACAATAGACTTCTTTCAACATAATGATGTCACATTGTTACCATGGCCACCAAGATCTCCCGACTTATCCCCAATTGAGCACGTGTGGAATATGATGGGTAGGAGATTGCTCAATTTGCAACGTCCTCCTCAGACTCTAGAAGCACTTCGAGAGGAGTTGGTGGTTGCCTGGAATGAGATACCACAGGAGGACATTGACCACCTGATCAGAAGCATGCGTAGGCGCGTTGGAGAATGCGTAGCACATCAGGGTGCATGCACACATTATTAAAGGTCAAAGGGCTTTAAAGCAGTGCAATCATTTTGAAATTTTTATCATTTACTTATTATGCTTCATTAAGTACTTATACAAAATTTTATTAAAATAGAACCATTTAAACTGTGTGTTCGGATTTATATGTCACTTAGTATATTTAGATTGAACAACTTTCCAAGTTTTATCATAAGTTTTGGCGCAGTAGCTGTAACTAAAAAAAGTTCATAACTTGTGGCTCTACCTTCAAGGTAACGCTTATGTAGTCTCAACAAAACAGGCAGAGATAATAACAGGTGATGAAATTGTACAAACCATGATAATTATATTATAACATGGAATTCTTATATTTATGGTGCATGCCAATTTGTTGCGGATTCTCTCGCCATATTTTCATAGTTAAAACCAATCGAACTTCACTATACAAAAAAGAGTGGTACGTTTACTTCAAGGTCTGAACAAAAGGTCCCAGCTGTAGAGCTTCTTTCAAATAGCTGAGAATACAAAATTTGTCATCCATATATGTTTGAATGACCTGTTGATACATGTAAAATCTAATTTAGATTTTTTCCGAAGCTGAACGTCCATAACAGGTATTTAACAAGAAATTCGCTTGTCCTGTACGTGTCTATGCACATATTGTCAAAAACACAATACAACGTGAATTAAATAGGTGTTGGGCTGTTAAAAATCATGCATATTACTCTTTGAATAAATGTCACACAGGCAACCTCAAACCCTTGAGGAGTGGGGGGAAGAGCAATCTGCTCCTCCCTCCTCTCCCGCCCGAAGGCCTGGTGTGGCGCTGCGTGGTTCAGGCCGCTGCGCATTCCCCGAGTGTGTGCTGCCGAACGGGCTAACCCCCCTCCCCAATTTTGCCCCTTTTTACCGAAATTTGACTCGATCGCGCACGCGTCGCGGAAGCTCGTGGTGGACGTTTCTTCCAACTGTCGGTTCTTGACTTTATGGACGGCCTCTTTTTTTGGGGGTCCTGCGCTGGGGGCTTTAACTTTAGCCCCGCATTAAGGTTGGTGAGCCTTCGCTGTTTCCTAGTCGACTGGAGTCAGTCGGTCGTCGTCAGTCAGTCATTTGCTGTTAGTCATTCGTCTCCTGAGGTTAGCTCCGAGTCCGTGCTTGACTCTGGCCACCTCAATCGACAGGCTTCTTTTTGTCCACGCGTTGTGCACGGGCTGTTCTTTCCCCTCTTGGGTGTACAACTATTGTCGGTCTTCTCCCCTTTTCTTTGGCCTCATCAGCTGCTATTGCCAAATTTCTTCTTGTTGCAGCTGGCTTTTCAGTCTTTTATGACGCCTTATTGTTCTTGGGTCGTAATCCAAGGCGTCTTTAATCAGCACGTTACGATGTCCTTCGTTATTTTCAAAGAACTTTCGGGCCCTCTCTTTCATCTGGATTACTACCGGTACCTGTCGTAGTTCGTCATATAGCACTTTGTTAGGTACATACCACGGTGCGTCCACCGCTTCACGGAGTGCTATGTTTTGTTGAGCTTGGAGCCTCTTCTTCATCGTTTTGGAAACGTAGCCCCAAACTACTGCTACGTAAGTCATGATTTGTATGTAGCAGCACCATCTGAATCATGATGGTCTTATTCTTTAGTGACACTTTGCTTCTTCTGCCCGTTAAGGGTCTTAGTCTGGAGGGTGCCATCTTCACTTTCTGCACCTGGCCCTCGACATGGTTCTTCCAAGTAAGTTTTTGGTCCATCTTGACTCCAAGGTATGCGCTGGAGTCCTTCCAGTCGACATCAGCTTCTTCGTCTCTTCTCCAGCCTCTTTCCATTCTGGTGGTCGTCATCTTTATTTTGGTTTGAGGTAATCTTCGATTTCTTCGGAACAGTACCGCTTCGGTCTTCTCAGGGTTAGACGGATCTTCCACTTGATGCATCATTCCTCTAGGTTGGTAGTCGCTCGTTGCAGATATTGCGTAACCATGTGGGACCTCGCACTTTCTGCCGCATATGCTCTATCGTCCGCATACACATACAGTTGCGTTTGTGGAGTCTTCGGGATGTCTGAACTGTAGATTGCATACTGCAGGGGTGATAGGACCGCGGTACTCCTGCCTCCACAGTCCTCGTCGTCAAAGTTTCTTTATCTATCCTAATTCGGAATATACAGGGTGACTTTGAAGTTGAGTCATTAATTTTCAGATAATGATTGTAGAAGGAAGATAAACCAAAATATGTGTGTAAAAATAAAAAAAAAATAAAAAAAAATGTTACCTTGTTTAATAAAGTATCCTCCCGACAAGTATTCCAGTGCGGACCTGTATTTGATCGTGCGGTCTTGGAGCAGCATGCCCTCACCTGTGAGGTCTTAAGTCACCTGATTCACGAGCCCTTTGCACTACATTAACAAAGGCACGAGGGGTTGGTTGCACTCGATTGGGAAACCGATTCGCATAAATCCGTGATGCATCCGGGAGCATTTTGTAAAGACTGCCCCCCCGTAAATAAGAATCATGTCCACAAGTTCAGCATTTTCGTAAACATGTGCCATTTTTGATTTCGTTTGAGCCACGCAACACACTACTATTCACTCAGAATTTATCGACTGACGAAAAACATCGTGATAAACGTTTCAAATTCTTTCGCTTTTTTGTTTCCGATGCGGTGAACCGGTCAGGCGGATTATATCCGTTGTCGCCAAACACGAGCATATAATAGGCAGGGCGGTACTCAAACTTCCAAAGGGGTATAACTTTGTTACTTTAATTTTACCAGAAAAATGGTAAAGGAAAAAAACATTTCTTTTGATCAGATCTACTCACTGTTAAAATAAATGACTCAACTTCTAAGTCACCCTGTATATATATATATATATATATCTGTGTGTGTGTGTGTAATTTGGTAGCACGGTTTATAAAAGTCGTCACATTCATAGTCCTATATCTCAATTTTAACAGTTTTTTTTTAATTGTATGGATTTGAAATGTTTGTTTACTCTTATGTTACATTTCAATATTTCTTTGTGGCTATACGGATATGTGTCATCTACTAATATATGTATGTTATATAATTATTCATTTTTTGTATGCTTTTTGTATTTTTCTATTGTAGTATACCAGTGACGTGTTCTGTCATCCCATGATGATCTTACAGAATCTATGTATAGTGCATACCAAATAAAATCCGATGCACGTCATAGGTGATGTCATTCATAAAAATCATGGTTACCAACAGTTGACTACATTCAATGTGACATTTCTACTTGAAGTTTAAATTTCCCCGTCTCGATTCGGTTGGTAGTGCCGTGCAGAGAAATGTGAGGTTGCCACTTCTCATTTGTTGACATCAGTTGCCATTGTCCTTTTGTCGTACTATTAGTTCTTTATTGTTTAGTTTGTGAGTTTTGCGCTAATTGAGCTTTGAATCGTTCCCTTGCCAATTAAAAATTGTTCTTTTCAGAACAACAGTTACTGTGAAGTGGTGTAAAGTATCCAAGCGAAGTGTTAGAAGTACAAAAGCTGATGGAAAAAGGTGGGTTTTCAAATGTATAGAAAAATAAGCTCTATATAAAAATGAAATGCATTTGTAGGTATATCATAGTTCACGCTGGCAATGAAAATGGATTTGTTGAAGGTGCGTCGCTCATATTTTCATCGAAAACCCAGCTTAATGATTACCGTGGTGAAATGAACCAGCAAAACTTTTTATATTGGTTTGAAAATCAATTACTAATAAGCTTGACCCAACCCTCTGTGATTGTTATGGATAATCCATCATACCATAGCATGTTATTAGTAAAAACTCCCAATAGCTCATGGAGAAAGGATGAAATTCAGAATTGGTTAACTGAACAAAAAATACAGTATCCACATGAAGCATTCAAATCTGAACTTCTAACGATTGTTGCACAGTGAGCAGAATACCCAATCTTTATGCATTTTGTTCCTATTTTTTTTTTTTTGGGAATAAACCAACCAAAATGTATGTGGTCGATAACTTGGCAGAACAATATGGACATAAAGTTTTACGGTTACCTCCATACCACTGTATTTTTAACCCAATTGAGCTAATTAAAGATTACTATAATCGGCATATTGGAAGAGATGGCCACACTGAAAATGACTGCCTAAAAATGTGGCAAGAGGCACTCCAAACTATTACCCCTGATATGTGGAAGAACTCCATTAGACATACAGAGGAGATAATTATGAAATGGTATAGAAGGGAACAAGTAATGGATAGACAGGAAATTCTTCCCCTTATTATCCATGTTAACGATGACTCTGATTCCAGTGATTCAGAATAGTTAAAACATCAAAATATATTCTGTATAATGTAATCAAACTCCGGAATTGATATACAACTGAACCATACCATGCGGTTAATATCAGACTCGATAAAGAGTACTCCTTGCCGCTAGTTGCCGGTATTGTGTAACATCGCATCACCCGAGTTCTTTCTTCTCTTTGATGTGAATTGAAAAAGTGTTGTAGTTCCCATATCATAAATAAATAATCAAATTAATTAAAATACGAGAAAACAATTTATGTTCTTTAAATATTGTGTGTTTTTGGATATCTACCAAATCAGGTGTTTTTATTCAGAAATGAATTTAATTTTACAACAAGTTTATTTATTTTTAATATAATGGTATTATAGTAAATGGTAGGTATATCTAAACAATTTATTTTATTAAATTTATTTGCTTAAAAGAAAATGTGCAAATTCTGGCAACAGCGCACAGCTCCACATCGATGACGTGCATCGGGTTTTATTTGGTATCCTCTATAGCCATCCATACAACTGTCTACCTATTCAAGTGTCATATATGCCACGACAAAACAAGCCTGGGTATTACGCTAGTATTCATCAGCAGACTGGATACGGTAAATTAATACTCGTAGAGGATTGCGAAAATACCATTTCAAACGGATGTAACATTTTTTTCCAAGATGACAATATGCGTTGATTTTGATAGACCCTTTGGCAACCTTGCACTGCAATATTCGCAGCGGGGATATTCAGATTTTCTCACTTTCCGGTCTGCAATACGAAACCGTCAAAAGTATAAATAAATCGGCACCCGTCACCTGTATAGGCTAACTTGAATCATCATATCTATTTTCATAGAATAAATGAGTATTTCTTAGCAAAAGCAAGTACATCATTTTTCAAAGGAGCAAGACGGACATATGAGTAAAATTAAAAAAAGATACATTTTTAAAATGAAACGGTGAAAACACGATCGGCCATGATGTTACGTCATACAAATTGTAAATAAACAAACTTCATCCGTATGTCACTGGTGCACTAACATCGCCTTCTTTAAATATTTTTAAAAAACTACATATCATCATAAAAACTTACATTTTCCTGTTTTATGCAAGAAAAAAAAATCATGGACGTCAGATTTGTATAAGCAGAAAACACAAATTTGCCAAGAATTGACACATTGATGATGGTTGGTTTCTTGCCTGGTGGATTTCACAATTTAACAAACCATTATTTTGCACCAATAGGGTACGAGCACCAAACAGTCCGTTAAATATACCCAATCAGCCTCAAGATCTCTCCGTCAAGTTTTTAGCAGCAAATAGCATCAAAGTATTCAAAACAAAACACTGTACAATATGAAGTGACAGCTTGCCATTGAAATGTTTTCAGTTCATTAAGTATTATGAAATTATATTATAAAACTGAGCCAAAATTAAAAAAAAAATGCTTGATGTCTGAGTAAAATCCATTTTTTTCAGTTTAGCTGAAGGTTTCTCCATGTTTATTGCAACTTTTGTAAACCATAGGTGGTTATATTAACTTAACATCACCTACCGTGTGTTTATACTTTATTCTACATTTGCAAATTTGCACTTCCGAAACCTTACATGAAAAAGCATTTTCACTCAAATTTGTTGCGTTTCAACACATTCATACACTTCTTTCCAGTTCCTCAACGACATTTTAACACCACTGGTCAAAACTGTTCAAGATTCTCAACATTCATACATACAACTGCAGTTGCAGTTTTTTGTTTTGATTTCAGTGTATAATCAGTCGCACCATCGTTAATGGTACATGGTACACTCAACATAACCACGTATTTAGGGGTTAGTGCAGATTTAACGTGTACACGACAGTGTAATATGTAATTCTGCAAAAAAAGCTTGGAGGGAGCACCTTTTATACGTAAACTTGTTCTTCCAAAATTCCAATTACCACAAATAACACAACAAGTGATCACAAAACATAGACTACACAGTGACGTTGGAGCAGGAGAATAGACCAAAGAAGATCGATTATTGCCACTTGAGAGGTGTATAGTATAGTGATATCGTGGTTGACTGATTTTGAAGAATATTAATATGTGAACCATATACGTTAGAGCTCAAAAATCTTATTACAATGAAAAAAAAAATAAAAAGATATAATAATTTTGTTATATATATATATATATATTATATATATATATGTATATACATATTTCATTTATTATGTTGTTTTGTTAAATACTGTTTCAGTTACTGATTTTGTTCATTTGTTGTTTTTGATTATTTATTGTTTATGTTCTTATTTATTCACTTATTTTTAGCAAATATACCTTTTTATTTTTTTGAATTTTCAATGTCATAAAACTTTTTAGCTCTAACTTGTGTAATTCACATGTTATTATATATTTTGAATTTTCAATGTCATAAAACTTTTTAGCTCTAACTTGTATAATT